TTTGATTTTTTTAAAGTGTTCAGAGATCTCTGAATGAAATATGGATGAACTGGATGGGCAATTTACAATGTTCTTTGACTTTGTTAACTGCCCAGAGGGCCTTTTAGCCATTGGGCAGTATAAAAAAAGAAATAAATAAATTAAAAATGCATTTTCATCCTCAAATGGATTAACAGAATCAATTCCAATCTTTCCACAGCTTTGTCTCATTTAAAATAAATATTTTTGGCAGTTGTATGCACTGTTCTAACTCTGGACAAACTGCTACTGCCTAGAGTATAAGCCCAAAAAAATCTCACAGCAGTGCACATGCACTTGAATCGCTGGCCCAAAGAACCAGCCAACAGAAAATAAAATGGACATTTATACCATTAAGGTAAAATAATAGTCCCTTAACTAAACATTACAATCTGCCTAAGTGTCAGTAGAAAATGCCACCATGTGCACATGGCACATGAACAAATTCTCTTTTCCCTCCAAAGTGACTCAAACAATTTTAACTATTATTTTGAAAAGGATGGGTCAACAGTAGAGAGATGTCTGCTGGAGAAGGTTGCTAGATTATGTTTAATACAGAAATAACAAGGCCTTGTGGCACTTAAAAGACTAATGCATTTATTCTGGAATAAGCTGTTTTGGACACTGTCCACTTCATCAGTTGCATCTGATGAAGCAGACAATATCTACAGAAGCATATGTCAGAATGAATGTATGGACTGAACACCATTGCAAAGGCTGTGGAAACTAAGTCAGGATAAACAAGATGAATAACACTGCTAATTTAGTAGCTGTCCAAGCAAGAGTGGTATAAAGAGCAAATACAGGAAGAAAGTAACATTTTTGATCCAACTTTCTAAAAGCATGAGCAACAGAAGCAGCTGAAAGCTGCTCTTACGAACTACAAGAAGTGGCAACTGGCAGATGCAAGAATACCTGGATACTTCTAAGGCTTTAGAAACTGGTTTATAGCAAATGAAATCCCACTGAGTACAAAGAGACTTACTCCAAGGGAACTGGGTACTGCTTTGCAGCCTCCACAAACAACACTTTGTCTTTAGTATGGGCTTGTATTTTGTTCTAACAATGCTTGCTTTTTGAGCAGCACTGACACCAACACGATGGGGTGGGGGGGGGAGGGTATTTTACCAACCCAGAGGAATAGTGCCTCTCAGTGAAGCCTTCTCCCTACTATGGTTAAATATCCCCATGTTACTACTACCTATAATATAATACAATGTAGTGCATATCTGTAGTGGGCCTTGCCCTGAACAGCAGGGGACACACAGGGTGCTTCCAGGGAAGGCATTTCTCATGCCCTTGCCCTTCCTCATTCACAGCATTTTACCAGAGTTGTCTTCCTTTTGTTGCTCTTCTTGTTATTATTTTTTTTAAACTTTTCGCTGTCACCTTTATGGAACCAATTGAGGCAGTTTACCAACATTCAGAAAAAATAACAAAACCAATTTTAAAAGCCAAATTTAGAAGATGTGTCTTGTCGAACCCCGAGGCAGCAGGAGCCTGTTGCCACTCCAAAGGAATGTATTTCAGAGTTTGGGAGCACTGCAGGTGAAAGCCCTTTTCCGCATGCTCCACAAACAGAACTCCACAAGTGGGTATGTCTTTGACAGGGCCTTTTCTACTGATCTTAGTAACTGAGCAGGTTCATACTGAACAGCTAAGGGGCAGCCTAGATCAGTATGAACCTGCTCAGTTACTGGCAATTCTTTAAAGGTGGCAATTCTTTAAAGCCCTGAGCAATGTGTCTCTTTCCAGCACAGTTCCCCTCTCCTCCCACCACCATCTTTTTTCTTACAGCAGAAGAAGTCTGATAAGAAAAGAAAGATGGAAGAGCTGAATAGTGTGTCTGCTGGTAGTACTTCAAGCCCACCATTTAGAAGCTTCCCCAGGAATCAAGCAGAAAATCTTTTCCTGACATCCAAGGACAGGTACAGAAACAAGATTAAAAACAGGCTAGCAACCCTATATAGCTATTATACTAAATTATTCTAAAAGACCTCATTATACTTTATGACAGGCATGATTAAAGCTACCTCATTCCTCCTGAACAAATTGTATTCTGCACTTAGCATGTGCAAGCTTTCTATGAACAGGAACTTAGTTACAAGCTTGTGATGCCTGAAGGAAAATGTCCATCTGAAAACACAGCTCCTCTTACTTACCATAACAGTGTTTTTCTTATTATCCAGATGCCTTTGCATGAAACAAGCTGCTTTGTGAGCCTAAACATAAGAAGTTCTTTTTGGAATCACAAACCTTTTGAGTACCTGTTAAAGCAATATAAACTAATCTAGCTTTCATGCACAATCCTCAAAGAGACATTTTCTGCTATGTGCCAATCTTAACGTTCAAAAGGTGCCACAAATTCTTTCAGCGACAGCACTGAAGTTTCTGCTACAACTTTCTGGGTAATGCTTTATATACTGAAGGCTGATATGGCATAGGATCCATAGCACTGGTGGCCAGGCCTCTTTTCTTTCTTTTTAATAGGTCACAGGTTAAGTCCCAAGTACTGTGAGAGTGCTACTCTGGTATGTGAGAAGCCATCCATGCCTTAGTGTGGTGTTGTCTTTAGTCTATTGAAACAGAAAACAGCAAAGCAAGAGAGCAAGGGGGAGAGAGGGCAGTGCAATTATGTCTCTATGACCACCTAGAGTCCTGCAGATGATGTTGACCTACAATGGTCATTATCCCTGACCATTGGGGGCTGATCCATCCAACACATCTGGGAAGCCTAGGCTGTGGAAGTCTGCAGACAGGCTCACACATCATTTGGCTTTGAGACTGATGTGCCACAAAAACCTGCTGGCTTTGCTTTTCTCAGTGTGTGTGCCACAGGTTGCCTACCCACCCCTCACACAAGGGTGCAGAGTAATGTTTCAATGGCCTTGGGCAAGACATTATGTCTCAACTTAATCTACAGGCCAAGGCAGTTCTGAAGCTAAGAAGAAAAATCGCAATACGAACAAATGCAGAATGCAAGTCCATGTTAAGGCTGCAAATCTAAGCATTCTAAAAGGAAGAAAGCAATGTTTAAGTCTAAGCTGTGAGTGCATGGTGCTGTGCCATAGCAGCAGCAGCTGCATGCAATTAGGAATGATTTCTAGAAAGTTTAAATAGTTATACAAGAAGTATGCAGGGATTTCAAGGCTGGGGAAGAGAGACTAGATGAAGTGCATCTTCCCTTATATTTATTTAAAAATACTTTATCTGTTCAGTTTGTGTACTTGCTATCCCACTTCCTGTGTTGTCCCCCAAACTGCAAAGGAAACTTCAACCACACCCCAAAGGTTGTGAACAGAAGGCATTCCATTCTCACAACACCATAACCTTTAAACAGTCCCGAAGCAGAGCAGTAAAACAAGCCATTTCCTTCCCATTTACTGGGCCTGGGTGTACATTTGCACAACTAACAGTGGCACCTGCCACCACTACTACAGACATGCAATTCCAAACACAGAGAAAAGAAAGAAGAGGCAACATCACAGTAAGAGAAAAGCACGACCCCAGCACAATTTCTGGCAATAGATACAGCACAGAACTTGAGAGCCCGCAGAGATTCCATATTTCCATCTATTATAGATGACACAGCTAGCAGGAGGGAGAGGAAAGGAACAGACAAACACTACAACTTCTGCCTTAAAAGTCATCATTTGGATTCACCTAAAAGGAAAAAGGCTCACAATATGTTTACACACCTTTTGTGAAAGCCACCAGATAAAACAAATGGATAACAGCATTCACAGGCAGGAATGTGCTGAATGCCTACAGGAGGCTTGCATAGTAGAAATATATTGCATGGGTTATATTCTGCTACCTAGTCTGCCATTTCCTTCCAAAATTAAATAGGCCTGGAGTATGGTGAGATGAGGAAAAAACCTGATCCCCATTCACAGGCCCAAACACAATCGGTTTATACCCAGGAATCCTTTCAGTGATAACATTAAGATGTGAATACGCTTATTTGCAGAAAATATGGTCGTATAAGGCATTAGATGAAAGAGGAGTTGGGGCATGGGGAAGAGATGGATGGTTTTAAATAAAAACTGGAAAGCTCCCAAATATGGCATCTACCAACACTGATTTCTCTCCACCCATCCTTGTGCAGCTAGAGACAGAGGGATTAGTCTACCATCTGATCAGTTCCACCAACAGGTATGAACAACCGTTTCTGTGAAATGAGACGTTCAGTTTATTGCATACATTATATTTTGCATAATAAAATACCTCGTGGTAACTTGAATACAGACATGATCTCTTCTTTCACATTCGGTATATACCTCTCAGCTAACACATTCCCACGCACAAACACACTCACACAATTGGAGAGAGGGTAAAAGGGCAGGAGGGGAGAGAAAGACCCACCCCAAATACAGAATTCCTGCAGGTGGTTGATGTAACATCGAGCACACCACGAAGTCCCACCGTGGCTCAGCTGGGCTTTGTTCAGACCAGGTGGGGGCAGCATGGCCTTTTAAAGACTCCAACTAGGGAAACCCCACCCCATCAGACCCTCCCAAAATAGGCTGGGTTTTGTTTTATTTTGTTAAAAAAATGTCCAAAGGAATTCCTCCCGAGATTTCACGAGGAAGACACATTCAGAAGCACAGAAACACATGATCCGGTTCTCCGTGCAAGACCTCGGTGGTTTCCCTTGCTCTCTTGGCAAGTGGTTTAGGAGTTTTTCTCCCCACACCCTGCAATAATTTGGGGCAAGGGTAGTACAGTTCAGGGGAGATTATATACAGCAGAAGTTCTCTCAAGAGGAAGGGGAGGTTTCTGAAGGGATCGGGTCATTCGGAGCCTGCACAGGACCCTGAGTGTGACCAAAAGCCACCTCGCCAGCCTCCCCGCCTCCGCCCCTGCACCATTCATAAAAGTCTGCCTCTGCTCCAGTGCATCTTCTTCCTCCCCCTGACAGGACCACAATCCCCACCCTCCATCGAGTGAATGAATGAGTGAGCGACTGGCCTGTGGCTTACTTGAGCATGGCCTCTTCTTTCTCTTCCTCTTCCTTCTGCCGGTCCATCACAGCCATAATAATGTTCCTCTCCTCTTCTGTCAGGTGGCTCAGGTCAGGCAGCTCCTGCATGGGGGGAGGCACGGTGGGTGGGCGAGGGCCGCGGGGCCCCACCGAAGAAGAAGACATTTTGGGGGGAGGTATCCCTGCCTCTTTTTCTCCCACTTCAGCACCTTTGTACCTTTTGGCAACGCAACCCAATCACGCCTCGCCGCCGCCTCCACCACCACCGCTTCTTCCTCCTTCTCCTCCTCCTCCTCCTCCTCCCTTTACACGGTAGTCCTCTGCTCATCGGCAGCAGCCAGCAGCTCTCTGGAAGCAGCAGGAGAGGAGGCGGAGACCCAGCCTTTCATGGTTGCTTGCATCCACCCCAGCCCGGGCTTTTGCCGCTGCTGCCCCCTTTGTTTTGTCAGTTCTTAGGAAGAAGATTGGGGGATGCCCCGCAGCCTCTTGCAGCCCATCCTCGGAGGCTGGGAGGAGGAGGAGGAGGGCGACGACGAGGAGAAGGAGCGGACGGCGCCGCTGCTCAGGATTACACAGCGCCTCCCAGGCTCGATGCACTGTCAGGGCTGGAGGGGAAGGGCGGATGCTGCCGCCGCCGCCGCCGCCGCCGCTAAAATGCTCCACTGCTGCTAGCTCGGGAGCGACAGGCAGGCAGGGAGGGAGTTTAGTGTCAGTTAGGCGGAGTCCAAGCTGCTCCACTCCTGGGTGATGCTGAGGGCTGTCTCTCCCAGACAATACGGACAGCTTTCCCATTCCAGGCGTGCAAAATGTCCACACCTTTTCCTCCGCGGAGTCGATGGAGCGCTGGGCTTGGATCCGAGAGCAAACCACAAGCGAAGGGTTATCTCGCTGCTGGAGGCTGCGGTCCTACTCATATTTACCTGCGGGGAAGCCCCGCTGAAGCCGCTGAACCCACAGGGGCAGCGGCGGCAAGGCTGCAACCCTAAGCATGCTTACGTGGGCATAAGCCCCACTGAAGTGAGCGAGCCTGACACCCGAGCAATCGTCAGTAGGTCCAGGTTGCTGCGGTATCTCTGCCTACTTCGGATAAACCCCACAGACATCCGTAGCACTGAGTAAACATGGTTCAGATCGCGCTGCAAAAGTGCCTTTTCTCTTTCATTTATTTTTACGGTTTTTAAATTTCATATTTTTATTTATTCATTTTTGCCTCTGTCCAGAGGCTCAAGTGAACGATGTTCATGTAGGGTAAAAAGCTTCAGAGCCAGTTTGAAGTCAGATGTGCATGCGAGTCAGTGCAGATATTACATTTGCACTACCAATAGGAGACATGCAAAAGCTGGGCTCAGCATCCTATGAGGTGGGGAAAGAGGGACAACGCCTTACCTTCGCCTTCTAATTCATCCTTTGACTCCCTGACTTCGGGTAAGTATCAGCCACACAGGCTTTTCTACAAATCAGTGTGCGAAGATGGTCAAGGTGAACCTCCTACAGTTGCCCTGTGGCCACCTAAAATGCCCATTCATGTAGAATATATCACACCTCACACTAAATTTCATCAACATTCAGCACAATCTCAGCATTTCCTTTTTTAATTATTTTGAAATTAGATGTTAACACACATGACATTTTAAAATATGTTGATGAATTTTAAGAATGTTTAAGTACATTTAAAGAATATTAAGTATGCCAGATCCAGTACTTTTATACCTTTTCTCTGAAGGGGGTGCACAGATCTCTGTGCATCTGAGAGATTTAGAGTAAAGAATTTGAATTATCCCTTCCAAAGCTTCTGCTCTTAAGAAAAATACACTTTATTGATGTATTTATTTTAACTTTTCAAACTCTGCCTTTTTCAAAGCAGCATCAAAAATAAAATCAAACAATATAAAAGCCAACCCACATTAATGTATTGAACAAAACAAGAATAATAAAACAACCATTTTCAAAATAGCTAGGGATCCCAAAAGCAGAAGGGGCAACTATCCATAAAGCTATCATCAAAGTGGAAAGATAAAAAGGTTATAATATTGACTATATCTATATGAAAGGAGTGGGTGGGTAAACTAATTCAGCTTAACCATTCTTACCCAAGCCTTAATCTGGCAGCTAAAGCCTAAAGCAGGGCCAGGAAACTGCAGCCCTCCAGATGTTGCTGGACTACAACTTCCATTTTCCCTCACCATTGGTCTTGTTAGTGGAGACTGATAGGAACTAGGGACCAACCTCATCTGGAGGGCTGCAGCTTCCCCATCTCTGGCATGTTGTGTTGGGACTTAACAAAGCCCATCAAGTTGGGTACAACCAGCAAAAAAGGTTCCATTCCTCGTCTTTCTTTACTCTTAATACATAAAATTCCGATAATGTATTCTTTGCACAGTTGCCCTTAAAGGCAGCTCAGACATTACACTTGGCCCAAAATGCTATAACCAGATTCTTAACAGAAGCTTACTTCATCGAGCAACACTCCAGTACTTTTCCAACAATGTTGGCTACCAACTTGTTTTCTGTTGCGGTTCATGATGCTGGTGCTTACTTTGCAGTCTTAAATGATCCAGTGCTAGCATGTCTGAAGAGCTACTTCATCCACCTTGCATACTCCAGTCAAATTCTGAGATGCTGCTACTTCAGAAGAAAGGTGGGTGGACATGAGAAATAAGAGCCATCTTAGTCATGACACTACAATGGTACAATGCTCTCTCATAGGATGTCTCAATTACTTACTGTCTTTTAGCAACTGGTAAAAACCTGCACCTTCAGGAAGGCCTTGGGGGCTGATTAACATGAGTCTGCTGCCGAATTGATATAATATATTAAGCTTAACATGTGAATGCATTGTGCTCTCTCTCTTAAGTTAATATTGCTATATTTTGTAGATCATGTAGAGTTTAGTATTTTGCAAGCTGCATTAGGATGCTTTCAGACAAGGCTTTTATAGTGCAATTGCCCTCCATGGAATTTTATGAAGGTGGGAGTGGGAGATGTTCTTGTCTTCTATTTGTAACCTTCCCGTGCTTTCCTACCACTACAAGCTTTTTTCCCTTACTGTAGAAAATCCATTAGAAGAAAAAGGCAAAATAATTCTGTGATGGCCTTTGATTGGTAGCTCTAGGAGCCATCCATCTAAAGACACCCTTAAAGTTCCTTCAGGGCAGGAACTGAAGACTATTAAAGCTAGTTTTAAATAAACAATAAAATGTGTTATTAATTTCTGGGGCAGAATGCACAGTTATTCTTCCAGAAAATGAAGATAGTAGGATGAGGATGAGGATGATATTGTTATTACCATGCATTTCTCTTTTCTCTTGAATGTGATATATAACACATTTTCTGTATGATTTACTATATTCTTAAAAAATCAGGTGGGATTGGTCTATCTCATCTTGAGCAGAGACATGATAATCCGGTCAATTTCTTGGCATTCTATGGTAAATACACATTTTCTGACATTTTTCAGCCACCACACAATAGGAATCAAGGTAGAAGGTAGCTGTTTTGAATAGGTTCAACCCCTATCTGGCTACTATTCACTTAACAAGGCCAATTATTTTTTTGCCAGCTGACTGCATTTTATAGCAAAGTCCATACAATTTATGACTCACCAGGCCAAATCCAGCCCAACCCTCATGCATTGTGGCATGCTGGGGGATTTATTTATTTATTTGACAAGCCTTTTCTATTTTGTAGTCTCAGACAGCCAGATGGAAACTGCTTTTAGTTTGACAGGTTACAAGTTGCCATGGACAGTTACAGCAGCTTGTCTGAGTGGCAAGGGCTCAAGCCTACATAGAAGCAACATCCTCTCACCTGGAAGTCCTGAACAGATGAAAGAAAGAAGAGGGAGTGCTGGCTGTTATTCTATGGTGGGCATCCACCGCACAACGAAACTGAGGAGCTAAAAGTCTGGGCTGTACCAGTTTAGGTGGGTATACCAACTATTTTAATGATGTCCTTGTTATAAAACCTGTTCATTAAACTAGCAAATCAAGGAGAGAACTGCATGCATAAATGCACACATGCGTGTGCACACAAATTGTACTTCAGTCATGTACTGCCTGAAAGGGGGCTTTCTTCCTAATTTCTGCCTTTTTAACATGGCAAAAACATTCTAAAATGTCACACACCATCTGCAGCTGGAAGTGGTACAGTCTAGAATGCTACCACTTCAGTCAAGCCACCCCAAGACATTTCCTCAAGTTGATCTCCACAAACCACATATGATTTTTTAAAAAATGGAGCATGTCTAAAGGTGAGGCAGGATTTTGTTCCGCAACTGTGATTGTGAAAGAAGGGTAGGGGTGGGGTGAGGGTGAGAAATGCAGTGTTCTCTGATGTACAGCACTGCATAATTGGCAGAAGAGGTGTCATCAAGGCTAAATTTGTGCCAGGTTTCAACCCCAGACTTAATTTTAAATTCCATATATAGGTTTCGAAGAAGATATTTGCCCCATTTATAGCAGGGAAACATTAAGGTTGAGAAAGAGCCCTCAAACTCAGCAAGTAAAAGAACCAACTTATCCACCTCTATTACTACCACGTGACTTAACCAGTTTAGGGCACAATCCTGTGGGTTGTGGCTGTCATGACTGTAAGTTCCTGATGTTGGAAGCTTACAGTGGTCCTATGCAAGGCAGAAGGAACAAAGGAGATTTTTGCCTCTTCATCCTCCTTCCCTGATGGACTTGTCTCCTTGAGGAAAGGAAGGGCAGTAAAGGGGACTGGGTAGTTCATATCCTGGCCTATCCAGTTTTTTCTCCTCCCCATCCACCAGAGCATCCCCCTTTCCCTCTCTTCAAGATCAAGTTCCCAGTGTTGGAAGCACCAGCTGTGGTAGGGAGTTCTCTCTATGGATGGTGTGTAGTCTCTGACTTTGGACTGGGAGAGCTGAACTATCCTGTGGCTTTCAGACCCTGTCAAGAGTGCACCGGATTCCTCCCCCTGGTGAATTTGAGCATGGACCCTAGAATCACACCTCAAGTTTACCTGTGTATTCTAATTTTAATAAATCCAAAATAGTTGCTGTATCTGAGTTCAAGATAATCACAATGCAGGTGTGTGTTATTTTCATTGTCAAAGTAAAGCCAGGATGCATATGAAGGAAATAAGGCAGGGTTTCTTTGAGCATTGCCCCACCACTTGTGTGACTTTCTCTACGGAACATTCTG